TGAGTAGACGTTCGGACATGGACGGTGATTCAAGACTGACGCAAAAATAGATGATACAATAAAGAGTCCAAAGAAACACTAAGACTTATACGGGATAACTCAAAATGAAGTGAATGAAGAGTAAACGAAGACTAAATTCTCGAATAAAGTAACGGCAATTGGTCACCTTCACCACACCCTATCACTCCGCCAAAAAAAACCGACAACACCAAAAAGCAAAATTTAACTAAAAGTAGTGACCGAAGAAGAAATAGGACTGTAGTAGGTAACTAATAAGGCGGTTTGTTTGTTTGCTTTTGTTTTTAATCTATTTGGTAAACTTGGCAGCTACTAGTGCCAGTCCCTCTTAAGTGCTGAATTTTCAAGATGGCGTCGCTTTGTTATTTTCTAGTTTCATCCTATTGTTCAGTACTTTTTGCCCTTTGAACATGTAACCAAGGCAGTATTTCGAGCTTTTTGATATTTCCTCCAGCTGCTGAACATACTTTACAGCGAAATATGGAAGAAAATTCACGAAGAGGACTTAAAACAAACACGAAGGGATCGGCAATCACCTCCGAAGCCTGATCAAACAGTCGGTCTTTAAACAGAATCTTTCCTTTCATCCCTTCCAAGACAATCAGCTGGTACTCTGGCCCAAGATACTCTTAAAACTGCTTCAATTCTTTCCGACCACTAGGAGCTTCCGCTACACCAGCGTCTTTTTAGCTAAAAATTCTTGCAGACTACGACCTCTTTTTAAATGATCATACTGAACATCTTTGTCGACTCTGGCTTTGATTGTTACTATTGCTCGAGCACAACATCTTTGGTCTTTGTTCTTAATCTAAATGATGCACTGTCTTTGCTTTAACAGTGTCTCATACGACATCCGCCCCGGATTATGTTTCTTACCTCGGCTGGTACCTCCTCGCCCGGAATGTTTGAAAAAATTCAATTCCACATAAAACTCACCCTCATTCACATAAACATCTTCGGCAGAATTTAACTGCTTGGCTAGTTGCTCCATCCATTCGCTGGACGCTGATTGTTTTGAACCCAATCGGTTAAAGGAATCACAAGGCTTCGTGTCCACACATGAGTACCGCTTCCGTTGTGTACCGCCAATTGCAACGAATAATATTCCGGCACAAACCCTCGCCCACGCACCACGTTCAACAAACCTCGCCTAAACCTTTCAGCCATCGCTTCACCCAACAACTCCGCTGCAGGCGCTCTCAATTGCTCGAGTCTTAACCGCGCCCGATCTAATACCGCCGTCTGTTGCTGCCATGATCGTGCACCACCAATCATTTGAAAGTTTGCTCGAAACAGCGGATTGATTCCCTGTTGGTCAGCCCTACGACTCGCTGCCAAACATACATTCTCTTTGCCATCTGACATTAACTGATCGCCCTGACTAGCCGACCACTCAGTCATAAAGAGGAAAGACATTTTTCAGTGATTTTTGTCTATATTTTTGTTTTAAACTGCAGACTTTTTACGCATATAAGTTTGTTACTGTTTTCTAAGAGGTCTGCAGACTATAATTTTCCTTCGTTGCGGTAAAACATGGCAAGTTAACTTTTAAAACGGCAGACTTTTTACGCGTTTTGTTTTCTAATTTTATGTTCAAAGGGTGCAACACTATGTGCACAGTACGATTCATTTCACACAATCTTAGTTGCAGGAAAACACGTCAAGTTACATTTCATAAGTGCAGACTTTTTACGCAACATTCCCATACATTTGCTTATAAATGCCAGTAAAACCGCTTCGTTGTAGTTCACTTACCGTTACTTCCAATAGTTTGTTCGAATAACGCTTCATCTAAAGAGTCATTCATCAATGCATTTCCATCACTTTGCGACCAAGGACTTTCTTCCATAGAGCCCAAAGACTCCATCGCGGACAAACAGTTAACACTGAATGACTCTCAAACGCTAATACGCTATACTATAAGGCACGTTGAACTCAAAGTTTAAGGTCAGCTCGTGTACAACATGACTGTATTTGGGTTGAGGTCAAGGTCACGTGCAATAAAGCAGTTGAAACCGGTTCACCTACGTGCTAAGGTGAAGGTTGTTCAAGGTCGCCTTAAATTGTTTTTGCTGACTCAACAGTATTTGCATACGAAGCCACTGACTGGAACAATTCATTTCAGTCTCAGCTCATTTTCCCACACCTGTCTGAGTGTTCATTTGACAAGCTCAGCTCATGAAATTATTTCCCAGGACACAATAAATATAACACGCAACGTTTCTTTATTAATAAACCTAGAACAGCCGCTAGGGACGTATTAGATTTTCTAATAAATCTACCCTTTTCGTCTCCTTTTTCAAAAACCTAATTTACAAAGTAGGACTTCTGGGTGGTTAGTCCGTCTCGCCTAGCCAATCATAAACTTCAAAAAATTCCGCATACACTTGTCTACAATGTTCTCTCGCTTGCAGTCGATATCTTGGTGTGGCATGTAAAAAGTAAAAATAACCTGAATTGTGATAATTGTCAATAGAGAGTTCCGTGGAAGCTAATCTTAAACAGTGCGAACACAAAAATTCATCGCTATAAGTATTGACCCACATTAAAAAAATTACAAAACGGTCTTTGCTCTAATTCAGCCAAACGCGATCTGAAACACAAACAAAAAAATCTAATCATCGGCTATCCAAATTTTAAGATCAACATAGCGGGTAAACGCATTTCTATGACCACTCCAAAAATATAATAATTCTTCAATCCAACGTATCTCGAATCCTAGAACTTTTCCGATTTCTTTGATCACACCAAGACACCGTCTACAATAAAAAATCATAGAATTCATCATCGCGAAACAGAAACGGCATTTCTACTCTTAAATGCGCACACGTACGCTCAAAACGATCTAACGCTTCGTCTACGTTTTGAATATACGGTTGGTTCAATAAATACAAATGATCAATCGTTAAATGAAATAAAGCAATTCGTGTTCTACAAGTATATTGTCCAGCAGAATAAGCCCATTCGGTGAGGCCACAGGCAGGTAAACTTCGAATATCTGGCAGGCATTTTCTAAAATTAAAAAGAAACACCTAAGGATTCCAGTACACGATTTTCTAATTACCCAATTTTACGCAACACACTTTTGCCCGCATACAATTGAAAAATTTGTTGTCTTTCTAATTCAAAATCTACATCTTCATTTCTATCTAACTTCCCTTGTCCTTCAATCGTGACCCTCTCCACCGTGAGTCTCATGCAATGTGAGCCAGGAAAATGTTCGCTAAACGATACCCACAAAGCAGAGTGACACAACTTGCGAGTTTTTTAGTGCTTGTAAGTTTTTTTTTTCCGACGGCGCGCGCATAGGATACAAAACATTCATTTTACGTTCTTCGGCGTTTTTGTCTACAACCTTTCCTTGTAATTTCAAGCGCCATCCGTCTAAGGTTAAACGATTTCGGGAAACTCTTTTACATTGCAGACAGGTAGAATTGTCTCTTGTCACATGCATCCATTTCGTTTTTTGGCAATACGTTAACTCTTTTAGCTGCTTGAGCCCGTTTACAACATTTCCAAAACAAGAAAAAACTAACATTCAACAAGCGCGTCTAAAAACCCGTTTTTCATTCTAACATCAAAACATACACTTTGGTCTTGACGCTCAACCACTCTACATCTTTGATCCAAAAGAGCGAATCCAATACTTGTCTAAAAACGCAACATTGCTCGGGTAAATCTTTGAGCTCGAAAACCATTCTTCGATAAAACAAATTTCTTCGAACACATACCTGAAGTGGACGCGATGTTGTTCGCGGAACCTGTTTCGTTGTTCTTCATAGTCTCGGGCTTCAAGTTGTTTGGCAAGCGGGTGCCAAGGCACCAGGAAGGTTCTGGCCATCAGTGCTGGATTAGGTACGGCTTGTCAGGCAAGTTCTTGAAGAGTCTTCATCATGCTGGAAAAGTGCTTCTGCTTTGTTCGAAGGTTGTCGAATGACTGATGAAAAAGCACGTGTAAGGTATTACCTTAAACACGGTCTGTTGCCATGACGATGAGACTTTATAAACGGTGATTGGTGCGGTTGGAGGTAGGATTAATCTAATTATAAGTTTAAGCTCTTAACTGGGCTTAATGAGCCCTAAGGGAGTACTAGTCCTTTCCTCACTTGTCCCTAGTGTACTCTCCTCTCCTCACCCCTGCAATCAAGGCTTGTGCAGTAGTCAATAGCTCATTGTTTGGCTCAAGGTACTTTTACGTTTACAATGTTAAAGTGGTCGCCAAAGCTTCCAGTAATTTTCCACAATATCACATGATTCTCACCTGTCTCGCCTTATGTAAACCCCTCATACCATTAGTCAGCCACATTTCAGCTTTGTTCTTCAAGCAAGTGCCTACTCGCACTCTTTANGAGTCTTCATCATGCTGGAAAAGTGCTTCTGCTTTGTTCGAAGGTTGTCGAATGACTGATGAAAAAGCACGTGTAAGGTATTACCTTAAACACGGTCTGTTGCCATGACGATGAGACTTTATAAACGGTGATTGGTGCGGTTGGAGGTAGGATTAATCTAATTATAAGTTTAAGCTCTTAACTGGGCTTAATGAGCCCTAAGGGAGTACTAGTCCTTTCCTCACTTGTCCCTAGTGTACTCTCCTCTCCTCACCCCTGCAATCAAGGCTTGTGCAGTAGTCAATAGCTCATTGTTTGGCTCAAGGTACTTTTACGTTTACAATGTTAAAGTGGTCGCCAAAGCTTCCAGTAATTTTCCACAATATCACATGATTCTCACCTGTCTCGCCTTATGTAAACCCCTCATACCATTAGTCAGCCACATTTCAGCTTTGTTCTTCAAGCAAGTGCCTACTCGCACTCTTTAAGATTGTATTTTTCTCTCCGTGTACGTATCATGCCGAAACAACGCAAATCTCGAAGCAGCCAACGTACTACGGTTCCGTCTACCACGGCTCAGTCAAATGACCGTGCAAACTCTGCAGATGTAGTACAAATGACGCAGTACGCACAAATGCCGACCGAAACACTACGTTTACTTTTGTCCCAGCGCCGCCTGGTACAATCAGGGCCACGGCAGCAGCTCATCGCTCGCCTCCAAGCGAACGATTCTTAGGACTCCACATCGCCACCTACCGGCCCAGCGACCATGCCGGAGCAGCAGTTGGCCTCCATGATTGCTTCTATCGTGGAGCAACAATTGGCAACCTTAAACTCCGCGAGCAACTCGCTGTCGAGCTCAACATCTGGCGTCGTTCAGCCATCCGCCCAACAATCCGCTCAGCAACATTTGCCAGGCGTTACGAGCCTCGCACCAGATCCCTCTCTCCCACCGGTCCGCAATGGCGGAGAACAACAGATTCCGTCCTCTCTGGATTTCTCGCTGTCCTCCTCTCAGCAAGATTTGAATCTCGGAACACCGGAAGACGCAGCCCTCCTGCGCACCAACTACAGAGTCCCTTCTATCGCCAGCCATCTCTACAACAGCTGAATCGCAGCCATAATAAACGGTGAGTACGTGGACCTTGCTAGCCTTCTTCCTTTTTCGTCTCTACTACTACCACGTTACCGCTAATTCCCAGCTTTAACTACAAGTAGGAAACGTGGGCCTTACTATACCCCTCCCATCCCAGGCTAAGCGCCCCAAAATTACTGGGATCGACCGATGGCTCGTCTGTACTCCTCTCCTCTTACCCATCCCAGGGGGTGCACCTCTTCGCCTACCAGCAACTGATACGCGAGTCAGCCCGTAAGTTCCCCGGTATGGCATGGTATTTGTACGATATGGAATTTCGCCGAAGGGCCTCTCACAACCTTTCCATTAACTGGGGTCAAAGGGATGTTCAGTTGTACCTAGACACCTTTACTGGCGTCCCAAAAGCCATACTTTGTAAGGCCTGCAGCAGCTCGGATCATGTAACCGATTCCTGCCCGCTTTCCCCCAGGTCTACGGACTCTTCAGGGTCCAAACGTGGTGACCTCTGCTTCAACTTCAACAAAGGGATTCCCTGCGCCCGCACCCCCTGCTCCTACACTCACCACTGCAACAAGCCTGGATGCACTGCAGCCCACCCAGGAAAGGACCACCCTGACTCCTCAAGCTCTGGACCCACCCAGTCAAAGACTAGCCGCTCAAGCCATTCCACCCGAAGCCGCAATTGAATACCTTTCTAAGCTGTCCCCTAACACCCCTATTGACCTTTCCCAACTTGCCCTTTATTTGCATGATCACCCTGACCGTGCATCCGTTGATGCTGTCCTTACTGGCCTCTCCCAGGGTTTTAAAATTGGTTTCCAGGGTCCTCGGGTTTCTAAGGAATACCCCAACCTCATTTCTGCCTGGCAAAATCCACATATCGTAAGCACCAATCTCCTGAAAGAGTTACAGCTTGGTCACACTGCTGGCCCACTCGTTTCTCCCCCTTTTCCCAGTTTTCAGGTTTATCCCATTGGGGTTGTTATCCCATTGGGGTTGTTCCAAAAAAGCACTCCACAGAGTGGAGAACCATTTTTCACCTTTCCTTTCCCAAACATCAAACCACTAGCGTCAATTCCCACATTAGCCCAACCGACTACTCCTTACACTACATTACAATAGATACTGCCATCTCTATGATTCAGAACTTTGGTCAAGGGTGCTTTATGTCCAAGTTGGACATCAAGTCAGCCTTTCGCAATATCCCAGTACACCCATCCGACTGGGAGCTCCTCGGTATGAAATGGAACGGCCTGTATTTCTCCGATACAGTGCTCCCCAATGGATTACGATCGGCACCCTATCTTTTTGACCAATTTTCCTGCATGATTGAATGGATAATTAAAAATAAGCTAGGTATCCCTAACGTGATCCACATCCTAGATGACTTTTTCTTTGTCACCAGGCCCCCTAGGTCAGACTGCCTTACAGCCCTCTGCAAAATCCTTTGTCTTTTCAGTGAACTCAATATCCCTGTTGCCCCCGGTAAAACTTTTGCTCTGTAATAATCATCTTTATTGAGGAAACTTTTTCATAAAAGATATGGTTTTCAAAAAGGACCTCAAAACTAGATATATATTATAAAAACAAAAAAAAAGCTATAAAATTACAAAGGGATTAAAAAGATACAAAAAATGCATAAAAAATTAAAAATAAGTATTAGTAAAAATTAAACGTAAGTAGCTATATTAAAAACTCAAAAACATTACCTTTAAAATTATTTACATTCCTTGAGTCTTTGATCGTCTGACTGCTGAGGGAGTTAAAACCTGAAACGGCATGATATTGTGTTCTTTGCTTCCCCCAATTTCTTTTGACACGTGGTAATCTAAAATTGCCTTTGTTACGTGTATTATGCCTATGAAGTACGTCTTGCCTAATCAAGTCCATATCGTGATTAATTAGGCCATTGATGCATTTGTATACGTGTACACACCTTCTTTGAAATCGCCTTTTCTCTAGAGGCAGCCACTTGAGAACGGCTAATGCCTCAGTGGAGGATGAGTACAATGGTCTATTTAAAATAACTTTAGCGGCCTTATTTTGCAAAAATTGCAAACTAGACATAAGGGTAATATTATGTTTATCGCCCCATACTAGATCAGCATATTCAAAAAGGGGCATAACAAGACTTTTATAGAAAAGTAGACGCGCCCTGAAAGGCAATAAATGCTTTATACGCTTGAGAAGCCTAAGCCTCTGATTGATTTTCCCAGTTAGGTGTTCAATATGATCAGTCCATGTGAAATCCGAAGATATATGTATACCGAGGTATTTAAAGTTACGAACATTACTTATACTATGATCTAAAATTGAAACAGTCAAATCTACTTTGCTTTCGCGTTTCCTATTACTACCGATAAGCATACATTTAGTTTTGTCCACTTTTAAAGTCAGTTTGTGATCATGAAGCCATTTCGCCACACCCAGTAGATCGTTATTTAACTTATCACTCAACTCCTTTGAGGATGTACCATAGCAATAAATTACAGTGTCGTCTGCATAAAGTGACGCGTAGCAGGAGTTAAGCACATTTGGCGAGTTATTTATGTAAATCCCAAACAACAGAGGCCCTATAATGCTACCCTGTGGCACCCCATGCGTGACTGGAAGTTCCTCAAATAACTCATTTCCACATGATGTGCGCTGTTGTCTACCAGTTAAGTAAGAACGGAACCAATGAAGAGCTGTTTCAGAAAGGCCGATCTTGGATAGCTTGCATAACATTATTTGATGGTCTACCGTGTCAAATGCCTTGGTTAGATCGATGAACACGGCCCCGCAAAGCTTTCCTTGTTCCATGTTTAAGAGCACTTCATCAGCAAATGAGGTCAAAGCTGTGGTAGTTGAGAAACCCTTCCGGAAACCAAACTGCTTGTTGGACAATAAATTATTGGTAATCAAGTACTGATACAACTGCAAGTGTACCGCTCTCTCCAAAATCTTGCTTAGTGTAGGGAGGATTGAGATGGGGCGGTAGTTGGAAACGTTGGTCCTGTCACCTGACTTAAACAATGCCGTGATTTTCGCGCATTTCCACAATTTGGGAAATTGACTAGTGCGAATTGAAAGATTCAAAAGTTTAACAACAGATGGTGCAATTGTGTGAGCTGAGATTTTAAGAAGTCTTGCGCTAATTTTGTCAAGACCAATCGCTTTGTTTGCTTTCAATGACAAAAGCCGCTCAAACACAAATGATTGATCCAATTCAGTCAACTCGAACTGGAAAAGCGGGTGTTTTGAAATGGAATTCAAAATTTGAAATTCAAGACGGAAGTCTGTATTCTACTTGCTAGAATTTCGGCCAATGGAAGCAAAGAAGCTATTCATTGAAGAAGCAATGGATTGGGATGTTATATGCTGAACACCATCAGAGATAATACACTGAATACTCTCTGAAGATGAGTTCCGATTGCATGCTTCGTTCACTGCTTTCCACACCTTATCTGAGTCACCCTTGGCTTCCTCGATCATGTCACAGTAATATTTAGACTTTGCAGTTCGTACTAAGCCATTAACCTTGTTCCTAAGCTTTGCATACATTGACCAATGACGCGCCGAGTTCGATTTTCGCGCCTTTCTATGCGCCCAGGTCACGTTCTTTCATAGAATCACTTATCTGACTGTTCATCCATGGAAGAGGTGTTCCCTTGACACGCCTTCTTTTTACTGGTGCGTGTTGATCAGCAACCTCCGAAAACATTTTATTCCACGTAAACAAGGCATCGTCGACGTTGTCCTCGTTTTTCTCTCACCACCTCTTTAGAATTTATGGGTATTCTCCTTGACTCCACAAGAATGGAAGCTCGTCTTCCCTTCGACAAACTAATCCGTGCTCAACAGGCCCTTCAACAGTGGTTACACCGTAAATCTGCCACTTTGAAGGAACCTCAGTCCCTGATCGGTACCCTACAATTTGCCTGCAGGGTTGTTGCCCCGGGCCGGGCTTTTCTGCAAAGAATAATTAGTCTAACAAAGGGCACCACTAACTCTCGCTGGCACATTAAATTGAATGGGGAATTCCGCAAAGACATTTCCATGTGGTTAAACTTCCTTAACCATTGGAATGGAGTTAGCCTTTTCTTAGGGGGTGATGTTCTCTCCTCGCCTGACCTGCAATTATTTACGGACGCCTCTGGGTCCCATGGGTATGGTGGCTATCTCAATGGGGAATGGTTTCAGGCTACCTGGCTCCCTCAACACCTCCTTAACCCCACCATGGGTATCAGCATTGATTGGCAGGAACTGTCTGCAATTTACATCGCCTGCTACAACTGGGGCCCTTCCTGGTCAGGCAAACATATTTGTATGTTGTGCGACAACTTGCCAGTTGTTTCCATCATCAACTCCAAACGCTATAAGTCCCCTAGGATCATGGACCTCGTACGAGCTATTACAATTCTTACCTTAGAACACAACTTTTCCTTTACTGCTAGACATATCCCTGGACTAGATAATTCAATAGCTGATTCTTTGTCCCGTTTTCAGATGGATGCACTGCAGCCCACCCAGGAAAGGACCACCCTGACTCCTCAAGCTCTGGACCCACCCAGTCAAAGACTAGCCGCTCAAGCCATTCCACCCGAAGCCGCAATTGAATACCTTTCTAAGCTGTCCCCTAACACCCCTATTGACCTTTCCCAACTTGCCCTTTATTTGCATGATCACCCTGACCGTGCATCCGTTGATGCTGTCCTTACTGGCCTCTCCCAGGGTTTTAAAATTGGTTTCCAGGGTCCTCGGGTTTCTAAGGAATACCCCAACCTCATTTCTGCCTGGCAAAATCCACATATCGTAAGCACCAATCTCCTGAAAGAGTTACAGCTTGGTCACACTGCTGGCCCACTCGTTTCTCCCCCTTTTCCCAGTTTTCAGGTTTATCCCATTGGGGTTGTTATCCCATTGGGGTTGTTCCAAAAAAGCACTCCACAGAGTGGAGAACCATTTTTCACCTTTCCTTTCCCAAACATCAAACCACTAGCGTCAATTCCCACATTAGCCCAACCGACTACTCCTTACACTACATTACAATAGATAC